TTTCCCGAAACAACTTTCAAAGCATTCATTACAATAGGCCATGTAAATTTGCTCTAAACGGGAGTAACGTGATTGAAGTTTGAAATCATAAAAGTGCCGATTTCTCGGTGTTCGGTTTTTGGCAATTACCGTTGACCTAATTTTAAATGGCGTTTCAGTGAATAGCGCTACGATGTCGCTGTTTAACTTTTCTTACGCTTGGATATGTTGGCTTCATATCCGTATTTGCATATTTGCAAAATTCTATTGCTTTTTTTCACAAACCTCGTGCAAACCACCGGTATACTCTAACTTTAACACCAAAAAACGTGCTTGAAATTTGTGATTTTCGGAAAGAAAAAAACAACTTAATGCAAAAAATAGAAATACGGATTTAAACTTCATGACCTTTGCTTCAAAACAGTGTAAAGTTTTTGATCGCATGAATGACTGTAGAGATGACAATTAAAATTTTATTCACGTTAGTTAAATTATCAGCCCCGCTGATTTTCAGAATCACGTGACGCTAAAACAAACACAATGTTCACAAAATATTAATAGTAGGGAAATACAAGTCAAGAGCTTTCTAAACATATATAGATTGTATGGTTTCTTGTAAAATTTATTCCGATTATAGGTGTTTACATTTTTCTTGCAAAAAAACTATCCTGCTACCTTAAACTTTTCACTATTATGAATGAATATTATTTCACCAGAAAGAAATTCACATCCACAGTAATAATAATATGTCTACAGTGTGTGCTTGTAAGTAATGGGAGACATCAACAATGTTGGATAAAATTATATTTTGGATTTAGTAACTTGATAAGTAAGTTGTATCAGAACAATTTTATTTTAAATTATTTGTTGATTTATAGATTGGCAATAAACCCTGACATAATGTAACTATCAGGTGCTGGTACCGGTAATCACTAAACACATGACAGTATGAGCACCTGTCTTCTATAAATGTCTGATGTCTACAAGCACAAAATATTGACTGGTTATACATTTTGGAATTTTTCTTTTAATCTTAAATGTTTTGTCTCAGATTTCTTCAAGATTATTCCCTTTTGCACACAATGAACTTGTACCTTGAACTGAATCTCAAATAATAATTAGGTTTGAAAGGATTTAGTGATTGAGGCACAGTGAGTGTTTCCTTATCCTTAGTTTAAGGTTGTTGATCACTTTAAGTAGATTAATTTTTAAAACTGGTTCAGAATGGTTCAGACTTGTCATATTTAGTATTTACTTTCTATGATAGCTCCAAGACAAGAAGAAGGAGACGTATTATCTGGCCGACAGACTGAGAGACAGAATACAGACGTTATATGATCGGCTATTGGTTGATAAATTGGAACAGAATAAATTTTTCACAGAAGCTGTAGGATATAAACCCAAAGTCATTGAAGCTGTATGTATTTGCATTTCTTGACATCAATGTTTACTTGAATATTACTAAAGTGTAATCTGATGACATTGCCATATTGACATTTGGTCTTAGTTTGGCAAAAAAGACTATCATTAATATTGTATCACCTAATATTAAAAATGAGGTTGTCTTCTCACCATCTATTCCATTTTTCACAAACTTTTAAGTTCTATTCGTTTTAACTATTACTCAAGGTAAATGTTACTGTCATACTAATAATTCTACTGTTATTTCAACAAGAGTCAGAGGAAAAATTGTGAAATCTTTTTTTACAGCTCCGAGCTGAAATTGCTCGCTTAGAAGAGTTGAAGAGACAGAACATACAAAAGGTTATTGAAGGAATTCGTCAGGAGTTGTTGATATGGTGGGATAAGTGTTACTTTAGTCGCCAACAAAGGCACGACTTCACAGCCGCTTATGAGGGTAAATTAATCTTTTCATAAACTACAGTGTTTTTCACCTCATTGACTGGATACTTAGTTTGTGGGTGCATGGATTGGATTCATTCATCTATCCGTCTCATTATCTCAGGTAATGGACCATTGTTTTCTTTAAATTTGGTCCATACATATGCCCCAGATTTTGTCTTCAGTATTGCAACATTGGGTTCATCGTGAGTAATAACAGACCAGAAAGAGTGTGAACCATGTTGTTGTTCACCATGAACTGTGATATTATATATTATGCGAGTTTTGTTTTAAAAGCATGAACCAAACAACCCTTGTCGAATAGAGAGAACTACTGTACCAATCACCATTTTTATGCAATGAAACACACTTTTTACACACACATTTGATCAAATTTTAACCATAATCGATGCCTGGAAAAAACACCCTAGGCTTATTACTTGGGATGCTTTCAACTCGTTAAATGTCTAAAAATAAACCAGGGAGAACTTTATGACAAGGGAAGTTCGGTATTTGTGCTTAGTGTATGTTGCGTATAAAAGTGTGAACCCTATTGTTAAAACAGTAGTTACAACTGTAACTGTTAGCATTGTACAGCTAAAACTTCAAAACATAGTGATACAATTAATGCTGGTTTGAATGCTAAGTCAAAAATAGTATCTCAAGTTGAAGGTGCATTTAGTTGGAAGTGAACTGCTCACAGTCCTGCATATGTATATAGTGGATTTCTA